GATTAAGGGAGGTATTTATAACCTCGGGAAACGTGCCAAACTAGGTTTAGGTTAACCTTGGGTTGATTGAGCTTCCCTCGGAAGTTGGGCCTAGGTGACCGGCTTCTCCATTAGGCATGGAGTATGCCACGTGTCATGACATAATAAGTCCAGGGTGGACGAATAAGCGTATGCCACGTGGCAAGCCCTGAGATGTCCAACTGGGGGACACTTGGCAGGACCTGATTGGCCCACGTGGCGCATTCCGATTGGTGGGAGCAAAATCCCCTAATCAAGTATACTGCAGATTCATGCCCATTACCAATATTTTAGGATATGGGCTGAAGACTCTAAGCTTGATTAATCATATATCATTTATTCATTTGTACATTATTGAATGTTTTTCAGTCTAAAACCCAGATGATTCTACAATAGATTAATGCAACATACATATAGATTACACCCTCAATAAACTCAGAATAATGACATAGTTAAAAAATGGAAAGCAATTTTACATGGTGGCTTTTAACAAGTGAAATTGAAAAGAACATGCATTTTGGTTGTTGCAGCTGAGGATCTTGAAGCGGGAACACGTAAGAAGAGACTCAAAGCAGAGCCAACTTTTCAAATCCATCTGAAGGTAAAATCTCATATATACTAACACTGCTAAACCATATGTTGCAGGTGTCATTTTTTTCTGCCTTCCCTCAAAATGTCAGCAAACCAGCATTATCCATAGTGTTGATCATCCTGCATTTTTGCTACAAAAAGGCAGCATGTATTCTTTCACTTACTACCTATGTATCTGAACAGGCCCGGGGGTTGGAGATTATAGCTACACACAGATCAACGAAATCCCAATGCATTGAATATGGCTAATTAATCATGGTCAGGTTCAGTCTTGTACAGACCTTGTTCTGTATGACAGTATGTACAAGACATCTATTACCATTTCCCGAACAACATAATTAGATCACACATAAAATACTAGTTTGGAAGACTGAGCTAGAACATAATGCCCCTTTTACTCGTAAGGAGGGTAGAGAAGAAACGAGAGAGAAACCTCTGGTGCCTATTTTTGTGCATGAGATTTCCTTCAAAACCAGTGTGATGCTATTATCGATTAATTATGAGAGGAATACTAATACGAGTTGACTGTTGCCTTATATCTTGCAGTTTAAAGAAGTTACATACAAGGTTGTTCTCAAAGGATTTTCTAATACAGAAGAAAAACAAGTCTTACATGGAATCACAGGTTCAGTGGATCCTGGAGAAGTGCTGGCTTTGATGGGCCCTTCAGGAAGCGGGAAGACAACGCTTTTGAATGTTCTTGGAGGAAGGTTAACTCAGCCCAAAGCTGGAGGTTCCGTTACGTACAATGATCAGCCATACTCAAAACTCCTGAAAAGCAGGCAAGTACAAGTGTTAAATAATTCACTAATTAATAATAATATTAACAAGATTGATGAGATATTCAAATTTAAAGGCATATACCAACTTATGACACTTGCAGGATAGGGTTTGTGACTCAAGATGATGTTCTATATCCTCACCTCACTGTGAGAGAAACCCTCACATATGCTGCATACCTACGGCTGCCAAAAAAATTAACGAAGAAAGAAAAGGAACAACGAGCTATGGATGTCATTTGCGAGCTAGGGTTGGAGAGGTAACCTTCACTTGTTACAAAGGTTTGTGGATATGATGAAAAGGAATAATGCATTCTAGGGAGAATTGCAGATTCCTTAAACCAATTCTTTGCAAAGAAGAGCTGTTGATTATCTGAAATACTACATATATATATGTGCAGATGTCAGGACACAATGATAGGCGGCTCCTTTGTTCGTGGAGTTTCAGGTGGAGAAAGGAAGAGAGTTTGTATTGGTAATGAGATTTTAATCAATCCTTCCCTTCTCTTCCTAGATGAACCAACCTCAGGTTTGGATTCTACAACCGCCTTAAGGATCATCCAGGTGTTGCAAGATATAGCCGAGGTAAAGTTACACATGCTACTTTTGATTATCTAACAAATTTGTTGTAAACAAGAGTTCAAATACAAATCTATCAGAAAACATATGACAGTTGACACTTATATCATAATCTTCAAAACTTAAAGATATAACACCCCTTCCCAATTGATGCATTTTTATGACAATTTAAGCATAATTGTGGATGTAGTTACCAAAAGTCCTACCTCTCATCTGGTTCTTAACATGTTACAGGATGGGAAGACGGTCATTACTACAATCCACCAACCATCAAGCAGACTTTTTCACAAGTTCGACAAACTGATCCTTCTCGGAAAAGGAAGCTTGCTTTATTTTGGAAAGGCATCAAACGTGATGAGCTATTTCGCCACCATAGGGTGTACCCCTCTGATATCCATGAACCCAGCAGAATTCCTGCTAGACCTCGCTAATGGGAACATAAATGACGTAACTGTACCATCAGAATTAGATGACAAAGTACACATGGACGACCCAGAAACTGAAAAACCGAATGGTAAACCATCTGCTGCAGTTATCCACGATGTAAGTCATCCCTGACGCTCAGACACACTATACACAAACAGACCGAACAACAAATAAAAAAACCAGTCACACATACTGCCCTCACGAGATTGGTTTAATATAATTCAATAGACAGTGTCTTTTGAATTCAGTAGACAGTGTATTAAAGGATCCCAAAGTAAAATCACATCTAAAACATAAAGAATTATCAAGAAAAAAAGCTATATTCAACTTAAGCAATATAGCTCCACTATAGAAACACACCTCTAGTCTAAAATGAAAGGATGTATTAATAATTTTCTATATGTATGCATTAATGACATGGAATGAATGTGATAATTCTGATAAGGCTTCTCCATTGAAATACAACGGTGTCACATTCTTAACTATTTGCACAGGTATAAGGTATATCCAATACTGAAAGAAAGTACAAGACATTAAAAATGACATAATAACTATAGGAATGTGTTATTTTGAAGGAAGAGAGTTAGAGTCAGGTATTACAGAAGATATCTCATATAAGACTTCATTGCAGTATCTTGTGGAATCCTACGAATCACGAGTAGCAGAGAAAGAAAAGAGGAAGCTTGGAATTCCTATATCAATAAATGAAGAAATGAAGTTAAAATTATCTTCTGTGAAGCGAGAATGGGGAGCAAGCTGGTTTCAACAATATTCAATTTTATTCAAGCGGGGAATTAAGGAGCGAAGGCATGAGTATTTTAGCTGGCTGCGGGTTACCCAAGTTTTGGCCACAGCTGTTGTACTAGGGTTACTTTGGTGGCAGTCAGATAGCAAAACTGAGAAGGGACTAGAGGATCAGGTATACTCAAATCTTGTTCCACGATTTCATATCTTATTCCTTCCTAAATTTTAACAAGAGTATGTATTCTTATAATGAAGAATGATCTTTACAGCTTTAATGATATCATGAAAATTACTAGAGGGTATATAAAACCATGAAGTCAGTCATTATCATACAACAGCTTGACATTCTAACCAGACAGATCTTTCAACCATTGCAGGCAGGGCTGCTTTTCTTTATCGCTGTTTTTTGGGGTTTCTTTCCAGTGTCCACAGCAATTTTTGCATTCCCTCAAGAGAGAGCAATGCTTCAGAAAGAAAGAGCAGCTGACATGTATCGATTAAGTGCCTATTTCCTTGCAAGAACAACAAGTGACCTACCACTCGATCTTGTCCTTCCAGTTCTCTTCCTAATAGTAGTCTACTTCATGGCAGGCCTCAGGCTTGATGCAGGAACTTTTTTTCTAACAGTACTGACAGTTTTCCTCTGCATTGTAGCTGCACAGGTATCTTTCTTCAACTGTTTTTTCACAAAGTTCAGTCAGGAAATCTCCTAACGTTATCTGATAAAAATCACTTTTTTACGACTTGCTGCAATGGCAGGGACTTGGATTGGCAATAGGAGCTTCTCTAATGGACATTAAGAAGGCAACAACTCTAGGTTCTGTAACAGTAATGGCCTTCATGTTGGCTGGTGGATACTTTGTAAAGGTAAGCTGATACGAAGCTCACTAATCCCTTATTACACCATTAGATTATAAAAGAAAACTACCTCCGGCCCTAAATAATAGGACACATTACATCATTATTTAATTACTAAACTTAGAAAGTTGCCTATTACTTTTAAACAGCTTAAAAGGAAATGTCGACTATTATATTGGGACAGATGTAGTACCGCTTTATGGAGGACAGACAACAAAATCCAAAAGCAACAACTTTAGTTTTGCTGCATCAAGATCACTAGCAATCCCAACCCTTTAAGACAATTGCACCCTACTGACCATTAATAATGTTGTTCTTTGTCTGCAGAAAGTTCCGATATTTATATCATGGATCCGTTATCTTTCGTTCAACTACCACACCTATCGGCTGCTTCTCAAAGTACATTACGAGAATCACATTCAACCCACAAATTGGATGAAATTTGACAGTGGCTTGATGGAGGTTGGTGCTCTGATTGCCATGGTCTTTGGCTACCGATTATTAGCATACATAGCCCTTAGGAGAATGCGGCTTCAATGATAAGCTATTAAATCCACGGATATATTCATCGGATTACGAGCAAGGCACCCTCAAAATATCCGATTCCAAATGCCTACCAGGGAGAATCATGTCATAGTCAGATTGTCAGAAAGGATGAGAAAAGGCCAGCCTAGCAAAGATGATGGTCCAACTCCAGTTCTCTAAGTACTTTTAGCTATCACTTCAACCAATCCAACAAAGAGCATAGAGTAGTTAAATTCAGTTGCTTATAAGTGTAGTGATAATGTGCAAATATATCTTGAGATAAGTTTTTTTTCTAGTAATATCAGTCTCAAATTCTCAACTTTATCCCAAGTTTAATGTTAGTAGTCCCTAATTGATGTAAACAGCTTCTGAGTAATGGAAAAGCAGTTTGAAGTAAAATTAGTTAGTTAAGCTTGTTGAAGCAGAAAAAACAATCTAGTATACGTAGAGCATTAAGTACACTTCAAGGTGGGTGCATGTACAAAAATCAAGTATAAGCAACTATATTAAATCAATCAATCAAAGCCTTAATTTCATAAGTAGGGTCGGCTACATGAACCAAAAGTGATTATTCCGTGTAGTCATCGACAAGCAACTATATCAACAAACCAAAAAAAAAAAAGAGAAAAAAAGTTTGTTTGATGACTTATTAACAAACAAAATAATTGTACGCATGATTTCACCTCTGCAGCTGGGCCTCTGCTTTTCGATGTGAAATGAATCGTTTCAGAGCCCTGCGATGTTCTTTCTTCTGGTCCAAAAACCATATTCTTTGCAAGAAGCACCTCAAAACTTTCTTCACCTTCACTTGAACAAAGAATCAGTATGCAGCTCATGCAATGCACCCAGTAGCCATGCTTCAGTTTTACGAGTATTCAGGCCAATGTTCTAAACCAGCGAAGCAAGCTAAGGAGAGCAGCATCCAATGCAGGGGAGGATTTTTCAATCCCTACATACAAAAGAACATTATTTAAATCATTTTATTACCCCGTATTCATTTGAATACAAACAGAATGAATGGAGATATGCAGGTCAATTTTCCGCATTTTCTGTTACAATTATTCAGCTAGGGCTGATACTAGATTTTCATCTAATATCTACTAGTGCTCAAATAATACTAACCGATATCAGCAGCCACTCTATGAGCACACATTATTCCTGAAAAGGCCACAGCTATGACCCCTTGCCCAGGGAAACAGCTATCACCAACACAGTAAAGGCCATCTATAGCCTGCAATTACAACAACAGAGACTCATTCACAAGTCAAGATACAGGTGTAACTATGAAGTGTCAAGCCCTAAACTTTCAGCTAACCGTCGTATTGAATGGCATTCCCAATAAGCCTTTAGGAACTGAGCGTGGCATAGGTCCGTATGTGCCACTATCACGAGCCAAAAACCGCCTGTGTGTTTTTGGAGAGCCAACCTGCAATGAGGATACATTTCAATATTCTAAAAGCAAACTAGGAAAGAGAAAAGAGAAAACGATATACGAAGTAGTATAAATTTATTTTTGCATTTATGAAGTTCCAATACTGCAGCAAGGAAAATGCAATAAAGGATTTTCAATGTTGATGCTTTGCTGTGTGACAAAACTCCACTATAGAGACCTATATATATTAATTTCCATAATGATGTTCCCCCGTTGGTGACCTAGGGTAGTAACAACAAATTCACTTAGATGATTTAACACTAACGCCATGTCAACGTTGAATCTTTGCTCAAAGGGTGACATGTCAAACAAGATTCCATTTTCAATCTCAAGTCACTAAATTGAGAATGTGAAAACACAGATCTTAAAGTGAAAATTGTCATAGCTAAGCTACCGAAACTGAAATATTCCTGAATTAAATGTGCATTAGTCTATATCTTCAAAAGCTATTTTTATATACTGTATGTAAAATAAAACTTCACAAAAAAAAAAAAAAAAAAAAAAAAAAAAAAGGCAAAAAATCTAAATAGAAGGGTGATTAACAACATTAAACCTTCAAAACAGTCAGAATTAATGTCTATCAAATTATTTTATCCCTCATCAATCTCTTCTTAAATTCAGAGTCTTTACTGCATCAGACTACTGACTACTCAATTAAAATAAACCAACCCAATAAGGAAGCATACAAGCAGAAAAGGGGCAATGATCATGGGCTTGATTTAAATACTCGGAAAAGGGCACACACTAAACCAGCATTACAATTTAAGAAAGGAGTTAACTTATTAGTTTAATGCCCTCAATTCATATTTTTTGCGGAAAGCTGGTTTTTCAATAAAAATACCTCTTTAAACAGTATTGATGATTTAAGCCCTGGAAAAAGTTTCTTTTCTAATCTGCTTATGATTTCATCAGCAATGAGCTCCTTCTTTTTGTTGTAGTCTGATGGAGATAGTCCCTGTGACATCAAAAACTGGATTATTAGATTCACCCAATCCCTTCACAAATATTAAGATTTCAATATGTTCAAGTACTTCTAGAACTTTAGAATTTAAAAGGAACAAAGAATTACAATCACAATAAATAAATTAATTAATTAAGATGCAATCTCCTCTCAAAAAAAAAGGAAATAAAAAAGTCAAGAATAATCAACAAAGTCATGAGGTGCACCTGCCAGTCGTCAATGGAGGAAGTTGTAAATATATGGAGAATGTGATGTCCACTAGGGGCTAATGAAGAATCGAGAATGGTGGGAATGCTCAAGAATATACTGCCATAAGGCTCCTCTAAATTTTTCCAATCACTCTGTAAGCAAAGAAACAGCACCATCAGTTGATTTGTTCCTCAATGTAGCACCATAAGGTCCATAACTAAATGTGTGTCATCAGACTCATCACCTCAAGAACAAAGTGGTGGCAATCTGTATCTGGAGGTAATACTTCAGCCTTGACTCCCATGTGTATTGAAAGAAAGGATGGAGCTTTAACATATAATTTCTGAAAATCTTCCTCTTCTTTTGGCAGATTTTCGGCTTTTAGAAGTTTGCCTAAAGTAAAGATATTTGTGAATGTTACTGATGCAAAAGCTAAACTGCCAACGTCCATTTAAAGAAGTGAAAGGGTAGTTCCTTCTTCCTTTTCCATACTTACCAAAGGTATCCCATCTAGTAGCATTTGATATGATGGTCCTGGCATTATATTCACTTCCATCAGACAGTCTCACTCCAACCTGTAAAATTTATACATATAGGCCATTAGCACAAAGCCACCAATCTGAGTTTCCTAGTATGCCTTCCAAGTCTCCAATCATTAACAATATTCCTGCATCTTAAGCTAACTCAGAACTTACAGCCTTTCCATGCTCCAGAATGATGTTTTTAACATTTGCTTTGTAAAGAATGTTGCTCCCTTGATCAACGAGACCTTGTGCCAGGGATTTGGCAATTTTACCAACGCCGCCAACAGGATAGTTGATCCCTCCAAAATGCCTATCACATAAAACCTGTCATAAAGCATATTAAAAGATAAAGAAACTAAACAAAATTATTAGGATTGGAAAAGGAAAATGAAATATCTTACCATACTTGCATTTATCATAGGAGTTTGCATAGCATTAACAGTGCTGACGATAAAACACTGCAGAAGATACACATGATTACCCATTATATCAAACTGTAATCTTCTACACTATGTTATAAGGCATGCCAATGGATTGAATTTTTAAGGTAACAAAGTAACTTGAGTTACCTCAGCATCTATGAAAGACAGCAGTTGAGGATCTTTGATGTATTTACGGGCAATTGCTCCAGCATTTTGAGGCAAATAATAGGCTGCAAATGCAATTGGCATCTAAAAATTAATTCCAACAAACCATGATTTATTCTTAGCGAGTGAGAATGTCATTATAGCTTTAGGTAATTACATGTCTATGAGCAAAGAATGGTATGAAAATTGAAGTCTTTTTCTTCAGCATAAAATTCAAGAGCAATGCAAAGTGGCACTTAATTTATATTTTGGCTATCTTCTCCATATTACCGAATTTAATCTCTTAAAAGCCAAGAAATTCTCTATATATCTTTCAAAAGATCAGACACAAAGACAAGCCTAAGTTCAACTCTAATCAATTGATAAGTAAATTAGCAAAAAAAATACTCCCTTCTTTATCAAAAATGAAAAGTGGTTTATTTGTCCACTTATTATGGTGATTTTAACCCGATTATGTGTGTGTTCGTGTTTGTAGATGCAACGAGAAATCGAGGATTTAGCATGAACATGAGGACTACTTTAAGGAGGCATACACCATTCAAGGAGCGGGCGTGCACCTAATCTAAGTCGAGCGGGCGTGCACCTCTTATGGAGCGGGCGCCCCTAATTCTTGAACCACAATCTGCCTCCCTCTACATTACCAGGAGCGGGCGCGCCTCCGTACTCTCCAAGTTACTGCCCCGGCCTACAGCACTAGGAGCGGGCATGCATGAGAAGCCGCAGCGGGCACTCCATTGGTCTTTAAGGAGCAAATGATCCTATGTTAAGGAGCGGGCACTCCTTCCTATGAGCCCGAGTTTTTTTTTACGGATTTTCCCATGTAAAATTTTGGGGGTATAAATACCACCTTTAGCTTCATATGTACGAATCTTCTTTGCTCTTTAACTTTCTTAGTTAGTGCTTCAAACTCTCATTACTTAGCTTAGTTTCTCCCAACTCAATCATTGCAGTAGATTAATTGAAGCTTGTGTTCTTACTTTCAACAATTCCTCTCAACTTTAAAGCTTCATTTAGTAATCTCTATCTCTATATCTCTCTTAATTTTCTGTTTTTATTTACTTTGAATTGTTAATTTCTCTCTTAACCTTGTTTAATTATTGTTGCATGTTCAATCTACTTCCATCTTATCACTTCTCTCAACTTGTTAGATTAATGCTAGGATTAGAACTTGTAGCTATTTTGTTCTTCACTATGATGTGTGAGTAGTCTCTTAGCTAGAGGTTGGGTGAAGACCCAACCAAGCCATGGATTGATTATTATTTGTGCTTGCATGTTCATTTGGGTTGATGATTGATTGTTAAAGGATTGATTATTTGCATGTGTAATTAGATGGCCACTTATTGCTCATGTATTCACTTTTATGCTTGCATTAAAATATTAGGTTTAGTTGAGAGCCTTTTCTTGTATGATTAGACTAAATTCCTATCTTTGTTTAGATGATGTAGTAGTCTTAGTTGCAATAATTAGGTGAGTAATTCCAATTAATTTGCCTTATTGCTTTCTCGAACCGATCAAAAGACAAACCCGAGTTAGTAGTCTACTTTCTATGAGACTTGGTTGGCATATCTTGTTAATTGAGTTTGGTTTAGGAATGCTTAGTGTTGTGACTTCAAAAGAAGACAATGTTGATTTCCCATTTCATCACCGAAGTTTGATTCATGTTTGCCTATTGTATTGATCTATCGATTTGGTTGGTATCGAATCCCGCTTCCCCCTAGTGTTTGTCTTCATAGTAGTTAATCAATCAAAATCCCAATCTTGTGACCGGACTAGCTTATAACCGTTTCATATTCTTAGTGTACTCATACAAATTCCCTGTGGATACGATCCTTTACTTGCCCTAGACTTGCCTTAGGTTGATTTAGGTAGAAATATTGTTTGGTTTTAAGTTGTTTGTCCAACGACCGAATATCCCTTTGTAAAAAAAACTTTTACACTCACCGGGTGTACAATAATTTTACTATACATCGGTCAATTGCAAGATAACTTTTGACCAATTTTAGATAACTTTTAACATAGTTTGAGGTAACTATAGTCAATTACATTTTTTTATTGGAAATTACAAAGTAATTTATAAGAAATCATTTTTGTTTAGGGTAACATGATTACATTTATGCATTATGATTGATTTTTATAAGGTCAATTTCTTGTAAAGAGAGTAAATTTATTTGGAAAAAAATAGGTAAATTTTATTTTTTTATCAAGATAACTTTTGATTATTCTAGGGAGACTTTTCTTTCAATGTACAACCTTTATTGTACACAGAATTTTTTTTAAACGTTTGTGTTATATTATTGGTTTACTCAATTTGATTTTCATGTTTGTTGAATGCTAATATATAGCTTTAAATATTCCTATTTGATAATTATTTATATTTACAATAAAATTTAATATTAAATTCAACAAGATCCCACATAAAGCTATATTTTTCCTTGAATATTAATCACAAAACACAATCAAAGAGGTGTGCGTGAATAGTATCAAAATGAACTAAGAGTGAACTTAAAAATGGGGGTAGTGCTTTACTAGGCAAAATGTTTACTAGGCAATAAACACACTTTACATTAATCAATCAAGAGGTGAAGTGAATCAATCAAAGAGTGGACCTAGCCACTAGTCATGATTATTTTTTTTCAAAAACTTCATGGACAATAATTAAATTGTTTTCGTAGCATAGAGTTAGTTGCAAAGACAACCAAAATTATTTTCAAGTTTCAACACTCATGGAAGAAGAAATCAGAATAACTCAGCACATGATATCTTTTTTGGTTATACTGCCACCCGAACATATCAGATCTTTTTGGTCACTACAAAGTAGAAACCTATAGTTCCACTTCCACCATCTTAAACTTATCTTCATTATTTAATGAAATTGTTTCTAGGATCTCAAGTAAGTACTTACCAAGGGTTAAGCATTCAAGGGGCTTCTGAAAAAACTGCCCAAAAAGGTAGATTGGTTCCTCAAGTGACTTCAGCTCCAATGAGTTCAGGGCATTAAAGATCTACGTAATTCATACTATTAATAACACCAATGGTCAACAATGGAAGAACCCAAGTTCAAGATTAGCCACAGAAGCATAACTCAAAACTGACCTTCCAGCACTTTCCATAAAATTTTAAAATTCCGTCCTTCTCATGGGGAAATCTGGTAGTTAGTTCAGCAATAAAGTCACTGTACTCTCTGTGCACTCGAACAGAAAGGTTATTTGGGAGGTGAAAATGAACAGTAGTTGGGTCTGGTATGACTTCCATCTTACATCCTACTGCAGCTAATGCTTGGGTGATTAAATTCAGATTACCCTGTCCAATTTAAGGCATTAATAAAGAGTAAGAGGTACTGGGGAAGATAACTGACAGATTAAAAAATAGCAAATGAAAAGGTAAATACATTATTAATAAAAAAACATAATGCAACAAATTTTCCTATCTCTTTTCTAGCTACCCGACTATATGTCTTCTCTCCCTCCCAATCTTCCACATCTATCTCATGCCCCTTGTAATCATCATCTGGATTGGGCAAAATCATCATATTTTACTACCATCATCTCATAAACTTGAGCTCAAAATTGATCGCTTATGCACAAATAAACATAGTAACATTAAGCTTCGTGCTTCACAACCCCCACCCCAAATCCATACAACACAAATTCATCTGGGATTGCAAGAGAATTCACTTGAGCCCTATTCCATTTGACTAAATTCGGATAAATTAAGTTCAAATAAATTCAGGATAAATAATTTATGTTCAGAAAAATAAATTAAGAGAAAATTAGGACAATTTCAAACAATTACAAATACGTAGTAGTTTAAACAAAATAAGTAAAAATAAAATTCAATCAATAAAAGTTCAAACTAAATACTTCGTAAGTTAAATAGAACAGACCCTTAACATCAAATTCCAAGACTGGAATAAAAACAACAAACAGAACTTTATAAACAAGCTTTAACCCATTGACCCATCTGGTGTCTGTGAGACTTTAAAAAGCAGGCAAAAAGGCCAAAGCATTACAGGATACGATGGAAATCAATGTAAGGAAATGATTTTTACAAAATAGCATGCTTAATAAGAACATAGTATCTATCAGTGTCACATTGTATCTTAATGATACAAAATTGTGACAACTGATTAGCATAAAAGCAGCACACCTATGGTAATGCTACTATAGCCAATGCAGCGCAGAATATGAAACATAATGGAATCAACAAGCCAACTGCTATGTCCATTGTCAAGGGATCATTATATTAAGGATTTAACACATGAAGCACATATTTATTGAGATCAAACTCAATAGAACATCAATCCCATGTTGCTCTTGCAAAATGCATAACATTTGATCCAATTCTCTACACTATTACAATTCATCATTACCATCATAACCTTTCATATCTATATTTAATTTAGAGCACATATGCACAATAATCATTAAACTCGAAAAAGGGACCTTATAGTCTAATCAACTCACATCAATGTCTTCAAAGTTCCAACACCACAGTATAATATCACTAAATTCTAGTTAACCTCAATGCTGAAATACTCAAAGCAATGCAAATCAAAATACAGAGAGAATCATAGGGCACAAACCTTGTCACTAAACCCGAACATTACCGACGAACCGACATCGAAAGTATACCCAGCTTTCTCATAAAACCCAGAGCTACCACCAGGGATCACATACTTCTCCAAAACCAAAACCTTGGCACCCTTCACAGCTAACTGTGTTGCTGCAACTAACCCACCAATACCAGACCCAATCACAATTGCATCATAATTCTCTTTTTCTACACCTTCACCAGTTTCTCTCTCCACAGTTTCATCAACATTCATCACTGCTCTTAACCTACCTTCAATTCCCATCTTTTTTCTTTCCATCCCATTAAACCCAAATCCCATTTTCCCAGAGTTAACACAATAAACCCTAAATTTTTCACTTGGTGTGTGATTTTCTGTGCCATAGAACCCTAAATTTATACTTTTATAGCTATAATTACAAATTTTAAAAGAACTTCGAGGATCCCGTGAACTAAAATTGAACTGGGTATCGGTAATTTTAGTAGAAAAACAAGGAAAATTATGACTTCTTGTTTTGATTTGAGAAAATAAGTAAGAATTCGTAGAAATTTTGGGGTTGGAAGATGGTAGGAGAATTAGGGATGGAGAGTTAGCGAGGAATTGCATAGTGAATTGCGACGATGGTGGAGGAGAGAAGTGGGGTGTTACTGCTTACTGCTTTCTGGTTAGTGGTTACCGTTGTTTTCCACTATTCATCTCCAAACACTTTAGCAATTACTCCATATTACTTAAAAAAATACTCCCTCCATCCCTTGATTTTTCGGGTATTCCAGATGGAATTTGTTAAACATCACCCACAAATTACTACATAAAGCCCACGAAATTCACTTGATTTGACACTTTTGCCCATTTATGAAATCTTACCAAAAACGAAAAATTCTGACATCGAAAAATGTGAAGTCGTACTAGGTCCCTGCGGGAGACCGGAGAGCCGAGGGACGACGAAGAGTCGTCGTCGTCGCAGCAAAACGAGGTAAAACATCATCGTTTTAACGGTATGATGGCCGGCGTAAGGCTAGACCACCACCGTCATGGTCGGGGCGCCTGGCCAGGACGCTAGTTCCATGGCGGTGGCGCCTGGCCAGGACGCCGGCACCGTGGGAGTGGCGCCTGGCCAGGACGCCGGCACCGTGGGAGTGGCGCCTGGCCAGGACGCCGGAACCATGGTGGTGGCTTCCAAGCTAGGCGCCACTCCCACGGTGCCGGCGTCCTAGCCAGGCGCCACTGCCATGGTGGTGGTGGTCCAGTCAGACGCCACTTCCTATGTGATTTTTTTTAATTTTTTTGTTTTGTTTTTTTTTTTATAAATTTGATAAATTGAAATTGTAAAAAAAAAAAGGAAATTTTTTTATTTGAAATTATGTTTTAAATATTTGTTAATAAATTTATTTTATAATTTTGTATGTGGAAATTAGATTTTTAATTTTTTTGCTTTTTTTTTTGTTTATAAATTTGATAAATTTAAATTGTAAAAAAAAATGTATAACTTGAAATTATGTTTTATATATTTGTTAATAAATTTATTTTATAATTTTGTGTGTGGAAATTAGATTTGTGTTAATAATTTACAAAAAAATTAATTATGTTTTAATTTTGTATGTGTATGAATACTTTTACACATAATTATGTTTTAATTTTGTATGTGTATGAATACTTTTATAAATGATTATGTTTTAATTTTGTATGTGTATGAATACTGTTATACATAATTATGTTTTTAATTTTGTGTTAATTATGTGTAAATATATAAATTAATTGTATTATGCGTTAAATATTGAAATGAAATTTACAAATAAAAAATGTAGATATTAATTATGTGTTAATGTTGTGTTAAATGTATTAATTTACGCTTTACATAATTATATGTATTTAAATATAATACTTCCTCCGTTTTTTTTTATTGCATCATAGGGATTTTGGAGGCAAAATTTGGTAGTGGAAAAAAGTAAGAGAGAGAAACGTAAAAATACAAAATTGTCCATGTAATGTAAGATAAAATAAAAGGTAAGTGTGAAAAAGTAAGGGTATGTTGGGTATTTGCAGTGTGAACATAGATATTTTTTATCCTAAAATGGAATTGATGCAATATTTTGTAAATTTCCCTAAAAGGCAAGTGTTGCAATATTAAAAGAACGGAGGAAGTATCTAATTGACGTAGGTTTATGGTGGAGACGGAAATGAATTGATGTAGGTTTATGGTGGAGACGGAAATGATTACAGAGGGATATTTGTACATGATGGTCCCTTCGAAGATGCTCAACAAGCGATTGATTGGGCTAAATAGGTTGCAATTACTTCTGGTTTTTGCTTGGTAGTAACAACTCATAAATCTCAACAGGATGGTAGAATGGATCACATTTTGAGATGCGACCGCTATCGCAAAAGAGAAGAAAGAGATTTCAGTACAGTCACTCGGTTTGATACAAAGCGGAAAGGTTGTGGGTGTGAGTTCAGAGTAAAGGTTTGGCAACTAGAGAGTCGTGAAGGTTGGGAAGTGAAGGGTTACTCTAAATGGGGGTATCACAACCATGAGATGATAGTATATGAAGTGGTCATCGACAGTTGAGCGGCTTAAGTCCTGCTGCAAAACTGGTTGTCAAAGAAATGAGTGATGCTCAAGTGAAGCCTGCTAAAATATTAGCATCTGTGCTAGAGAAATTTGCTGAAGACCAGCCAAACCGAAGACACATCTACAACGTCAGACAACAACTGAGGTTTGAACGGTCAGAGGGAAGGAACCCTATACAACAACTTCTACACCAGGCACAAGCACGTGGTTACCTGTTCTGGTATGATTCTGATGAAGATACAGCGGAGGTGACTCATCTATTCCTTGTGCATCCTGATTGTGCTGATATGATCAAGTCTTGGCCATCTGTGATTTTGATCGATTCAACGTACAAGACAAACAAGTACAGGTTCCTAGTGGTTGAGATGATTGGGATGACTCCAACGAACAAGAACTTTCTGATTGGTCATGCAGTCATCAAGGATGAGACGGCTGCGAGTTATTATTGGGTCTTGGAGAAGCTGAGAAACTACATCAACCCTAATGTTCAGCCATCAGCCATCGTCAGTGATTGTTTCCACAATCGAAGCACTTGTTGTGCACATATAGCAGAGTTGTTTCCACAATCGAAGCACTTGTTGTGCACATGGCACATCAACAACTGTGTGAAAGTGAAAGCCTACAACCTTTTCAACAAGAATTTGGAAATGGCAAAGAGATTGGTGAATGGTAAGTGGCGGAAGATCCTACAAACTACCACAGAGGCAGAGTACGATCGAGCCCTGGTTAACAAGAATTTGGATTGCATAGTCGAGCTTATTATCCTTGTACAACGGTTCTCCCTTGGTCTTCGCATGAGACCGTCACTACACCGGTTAGAGAGACAGCTATTGCATTTCTTGGGTCGTCACACAAACATTTCATCCGACTGGACCTGTCATCCGATTTTCCTGTCCCACCGATCATACCTCGGTGGTACGACATTCGCACAGCAAGCGTAGAGGGTTGGGATGCGCTGTATCATGACCAGATCCATCAATGGAACACCCTAACAACTTTTTAGTTTTTCATTGGTACACTATTTCTATGTAACCTTATTTTTGCGTTGCTTATTATCCTCGTATTGTACTGTTGACTACATTTATATCTTGCATGCATACTTTGCGCGTTACAAAGTAAAAAGATAATGTCAAATGTTATAAACTAAAACGATAATTTCAAATGTTAAAAATTAAAACGATAATTTTAAATGTTAAAAACTAAAACGATTGTATTAAATTCTGCAAACTACAAAGATAATGTCCTATTTCACAAACTAATATGATAATGTAAAAAATGTTCAACAAACAAAATGCCAAAAACATCAGTAATCCCTCTTTGCCGCCGACTCTCAATGCGCAAGGGTCTGTTCCAACTCATCAACAGCAGCTCTCCCTGCTGCACTCATGTTGTCCCTCCCCAGGGAGAGTTTTTGTACGCCTTGCATTATCTTTCCCATCCACTACACACAACAAAAAATAAAACATGAAATTGAATAACGATATATAAAACTTTAAAAAAACGCAACAATAAATTTTTGTTCAGACATATCGCATCTACGGCAGTTGGCGGTGGCATATCATGATCATCGGCGTCGTCTCCATGGTCGAGGTCTCTAATCAACCTCGGGTGCGAATACCGGTTGTACCATTCCATGTAGTGCTGGTCACACATGGGAGACAACCCAGTAGGCGGCCTCTGCAGCTCCGCAGTCCATAAGCGGGCAACCATCGGGAATTGCTCCCACGTGGCAATCATGCTATCCGGCCATTGGACGACGTACTCCTTCGACGATGCAGATCGGACCGCCTTACTCGGCCATGCTGGTGGAGGAGGGACAACTTGGACGAATCCAAGCTGGCGAAGACAGTGTTGGGGCATGTACGCCTCCACGATCTCACGATACTGTATGAGTTCCGTGTAGAGGGTCCTGGGTACCCTATTACTAGGGTTTTGGCTGAAAGGCATCCAGTTCACCTGCACAAAATTTTTCAAATTAGTAAGATTCATATAATAAATGCATTACAGTACAAATTTAGAAATAATTTATACACTTTACCTCTAAGGGGGACATCCTGTCAAGCGATAACCGTATCGATTGGAGGCGGTCAACAGACTTCTTCTCCAACAGCGGACTCCACGCACAGGCGCGGGGCATCCCATCACCAATAGGAACTGGGTCACAGTGTGGTCGAAATGCAGCAAAATACTCGTATATCCAGGTCTGCAATAAAGTCAGACATCCAGTGATACCTGCCGCGTCAGCCCGACTCGAAAATCCTAGTTGGCGATACGGATACGCCAACGTAGCCGACCCCCAAGAAAACTGGCCAACACTGTCGGGCTCACACGCATCAATTATGTCGCGTGGCCTGAGCTTGTTTCCGCTCTTATCCGGAAACAAGGTACACCCGAGGAGAAGAAAAACATAAGCAGCCAGTTGTGCGTCGTGCGTCCTACGTGCACCGGGGTGCAAACAACGCTGCAAGACGGATGCGATCTTCACACCGTCGTGGTCCCAAACACCAAGCGCCCCGGTGTACAGCGCAGCCCTGTCCATCACCAATAGCTCCGCCAGCAAATTGGCTTGATCCGCATTAGTCACAACAGAAAGGCGTTTACCCTCTGCGCGAATCCCAAGAATGGCCTCGACGTCATGCAACATGATCGTCATCTCACCGAATGGAAGGTGGAAAGAGTTCGTATCCGGCTGCCATCGCTCAACGAATGTCGTGATCAGTGTCCAGTCAATCTTATCGTGCATGGTGGCAGGAAGGTGATTCACCCCAGTGCCCTGCAGTCGCTCGAACATCTCGCTCTTCACCGGCTAAGACTCAGCCCATTTGCTCAAAACGGTACAAGTCTTTTCTCGGGTTTGGCATTTTAAAATGCCCGTCACCAAACCCCTCTCCTAGTCCTCCCAGATATGGGTAGCTATGTGTCCTAGAAAGCTAGGAATCACACTCCCGTCTATAGGCCCTCCAGGCACCTCACCCTTAACCACCCAAGAATCATTAACGGCCCTCAACCGTTTTCTGCTTGCCCCAGACACGGTGGACGCAGATGATGTGCCAGATCTACTAACAAACCTACCATCCCTACCCTTACGCACATCTACCCTATGCGTCTCGTACATGTCATCTAGCCTCTGATTGAATGGACCGTAATCATCATATGGTCCACTCCCATCGTCCACATCCTCATATACGCCCTCCTCCTCCTCCTCCTCCTCATCATCATCATC